GATTATGTACTAACATTATTCATAATTATTATATTAAAGCAAAACGACTCAATTATATAGCTTCACATTTTCACAAATCTTGATATGTCTTTAAAGATTACCAATTCATCCATGGCTTATAAATTCGTTTTTTGACATTATATTACATTCCCCGACATTAGTTTAAACATATTTATTCCCGAAAGTATATATAATGTACATACATACAAATATATAACAAACAAAACATTTTACACAATGGAAAAGGATGAGAATGAAAGACAAGTCTTATAGACATTACCGGTATCAAAGCAAGAACCTCATACACTAATCTCTTCATTAACAGACATATCATTGTAACTCTTATCGTATATGTTCATATCATTGATTCTTCTGTTTTATATAACGGCAATTTGCATAGTCGACATAAAATAATGATGGTTATTATCTATGGTATCAATTTATGACTTCATGGCTTTTGGCTCCATCAGTTCATATGTGTATTACACGAATTTCCAATAAATGATGATAATAAAAATACAAATATCTCAAAAGGTAAATCTATGTTTTGCACGATTTTATGTAGCAAATGAGTCAAAGATTCAGGATGTAGATGGTAAAGAGAATAACATTAGATATTTTAAGAATGAATAAACAATTCCGTCAATAAAAATGTTTTTCTTGCTGTTTGGAAGAAGCACTTTGTTTGGAATAAATGTATTCATTTACATCAGAATTGAAAGACAAGAAAGAAATATAGTCAGTGTATTGTTGGATATATTATACTTAGAGTCTTCAAGAATTAAACGTTACGTTGTTTCTTTTAATATTCAGATTGTCTTTTATATTCACCTGATTCGTACAACCTGTTATAATTTTGAATGTTTTATAAAAGAATTGTTTAATGCATAAGTGTGTGAACTACGTATAGTTTCTATCCATTTTACCTTTCCTTTTAATCCCTATATATTTATGTAATCGTTTGAATCTTCTGCCTAGTAACCTCAAGTTTATTTTCTTACCTAGGACACTTTCAATTAATTCGTTCTATCACTTTACCATTAAATGCACCGAAAGGTAATCTTTAATATGGCCATTTTATTGTTAATTAATTTAATGATAATATAAGAATCAGAAATGTAAAGAACGCATTAAACCGCAACTAAATACTACACGATGCATTTAACAATACAAACATCTTTAAACATTTTAAAATTTTACATTTAATGCATTAACAGTCTAAACAAACTACTGGTCAAAATAAAGAATGGTTTTGGCGATGCTATTTTCTTTAATTGATAAAATCATTTAAATCATTTAAACGTCTTGCTAATATCCATTGAGGTTATAATATAATTCAATTGGGCTAAAGCTATTCAGCCATTTCTTTTACAACAAGAATATTAAAAAAGAAAAAATGTAAAGGGGTAGTTAATAATTAATAATTCTAGCTAAATAAAAACATAAGATTGATACGAATGAAAAGTTTAGAAATGATAATGACTTCCGCCACTCAAGAAAAACTTTACATGCTTTATAATTTATCAATGAAACAATTATGTATATATATATTGCTTATCTTGTTCACTTGACAACAATTTGATTAATTTTCTGAATGTTTATTGAAAACAACTAAGTTGTTGAGGCACTCTGCGTTAAGTACAAAAACGCACCAAAAATATTGTCATTAATTTCCATAAAATCACATACAATACTATCTGTGACCCGCATTCAACGTGCGAATCTTCGAATTTATTTTACTTTTGATCGTCCACCTTTGGAATAACATACCAATTTTACTGTTTATTTCATTTGTTTCCATTTTACTTAAATGTTGTAATTGAAGTATACTTTTCGCAATGAAAGGAAGCTAAGTGAAATGAAAATGTGGAGAGTTCGTGTTCGGCACTTTTTGTTTTGAAATTTATCTTTACTGGAGAGGTATTGTTATAGGTATTGTTTTACTTGTTTTCCATTTCAGTCGTTGTGAAATGTTTGTAAACGTTGTTTATGTACAATTTATTGGATAAATAAATTTGAAAGTAACCAAAACATTCTTTACAAACAAATAGCTGTATAAATCTACATGTTTCCTTTGCTGCTCTGTCCCAGAGTGGCGGAATATGAAATAGTTTATAATGTGAAGTGCATTATTGAACAGACGGAAGGGTTATTGTTTTCATTAACTCAAGGAAGACATCGTTTGCCAATGTTTGAAATTTCAATGTATCTGTTTGAAACTCAATTGCAGTCATCATATACGTTGCTTGTTCATCAGAAGCTTTATTCTTGTGTTAAATTTCTTAATCATGGTACTAGGTGGGGTTTTGTCTTGTACAACACTAGTAGAAACCACAATACACAATTATATATGTTTTAAACTTATATATCGTGAATAAAGACATTTATTATATTGCATTCAACGTAAATTTGAATTTTCATATACACTTACTATTTTTGTTCTTGCAATGCTGAACAAATGTTCTAGCTTCGTAAGCTCTGACCTCATTCAATTTATTCATTTCTGCCACAATTTCTTGCTTACTCTGCTTCTACCATACGCCGCTTTTCATCTTATAACAAGAACGTGTCACATTAAAGGATTCGTGAACACCGCCATATAGACATATCTGCGAATGTTTCCTTAATCAAAATGTAACCATTATAATGTTTATATATTGATTTCTGCTTAAATATGTGCTAGGGTTCGTGGACGGTAGTTTGCAATTACCACTATTGTTCATGAACATGCTCGACTAAACTGAGTTTGCATTGTATACAAATTTGCTGTTTTGGGCATTCTTTTGAGATTCCGTTTTTCTCTATTTCATGAGAACCGTTCCTAATCTTGCATAGAACATGTAGAAGACAATTGATATGCCAGTGCAACCTACAAGTTATTATTTTGTCTCTGAATTGTATTAAATAAGGTATTCCATTTTGTACTTGTAATTATGCAGTGTTAGCATTGATGAGTTCTTTGACTGTGTTTATATTGTTTATGTCCACTCCCGGTTTTGGTTTGGTGCCTTCTGGGTGCCCTGCTCGGGTTTGTTGGGGGTTACGTCCTGTGAACGTCGCCTTTGCCTTGTTGATCTTTGTTCTCGTCTTTTTTGTTTGGCAAACGCTTTGTAATAATTGTCACTAGTGTTGAAACAATTTGGTTCATAACCATTATCTTTCTTTAGTCATAGTCTTTTTAAGCTACACGTACTCTCCAAACTTGAATATATGTTTAGTTAAAAACGTAATAAGTGAAGACATTAAGTATAGATAGACACCCCTTTACATTCACTAAAGTTAATGTGGCAAACAGAATATAATGACGACAAAGTAACATTTCAGGTATCAAATGGTCTGGAAAGTGTGTCGCATTATGAGGACATTTCTATTTTGGTTTCTGCTTTTAAATATGATAAATATTTCCCAAGAATATTTCAGTAATTCTGTAGTGCGATATTAGCGAACATCTGGCTACCTATTTTTGGAGGACGTTTTAAAAATTTCAGATATTAATATGTATTCAATCACATTACCAACTGTAAGTGTGTGGGTTGATGGTACAAATTAGAATCTATGATATATCATTTGTTTTCTATAAAATAGAAATGAAAAGGTCAACAGTTTCCTATCGCACATAAACTAACTTATTCTAGTAATAACAAACGCAAAAATGTTTAATGTAGGTGCTCGATAAATTAAAGAATTAATATGATCATTTGTTATGTAACCTGGCGAAGTAATATTTAGATAATGATGTGATATTAATATTTATAGTTTAAGAGACTTTGCTGCGTTTTTGCTTACGTAGTATATCCGAAATAGTTTATTAACCGCAACGAAAATAATAAGCTAAATTAAATAATAGATATTTCTGTTGCGATTAATGAAAAGTAAAGACACAGGAAAGAAACAGAAAGATGTTTGTTTTTACACTCTAACATTTTTAATTCGTAAATAAACCGCATGTATACACTTTAATGTTTTACCATTTGTTAAGAAACCATACTATTAATATCTTTGTCCTCAGATTATCCAAAGATTGGTGTATTCAAAATACTTTGGCTTTTATTATAAGTGTTAAGTATTTTCCTTATAACTTTTGATATTGCCAGTCTGAAATAATACAGCGACATGTTTCATGACGTGTGTGTCCTTTGGCACAGTATATCATCATTGCTATAGAGTGAGTGGACACAAACAATATAAACCATCTTATCAATGCTAACACTGCATAGTTGAAAATACAAAAAGGAACAGCTTTTTTAAATTGATGGTCCAATATTATTCATGGAAGTCACATGAACAACTTCATTATCTTGTATCCTGGCCATTATGATGTACATATGTATCATGTTGCTATAGAGCTGGTATGCTGCAGAATGTATCTTAAAGACTAAATAGTAAGCTTTGAGTTGAACTTTTAAGGAACTATGCTATTCCTCCAGCTCAATGTTTGGACTAAGGCAATTATTACTTGTGTACACTGTATCACAGGACCAATACAGTCACTCAGTGAAAAGAAACCCGTATCATGGTGTGTCTGGAAAGGTCAGCTCAGCCACAAACATCATCGACAGTCTGCAGTACACCATAAAACGCAAGTTGAAACAATGCATCCCTGAAACATGCAAGCTATTGTAACAAATAAAAATGGTATTGTGACAAATAGTGTTTAACAATATCAAAGACTTTTAAAAAATAAATTCTAATGTAGTAATGCCAAGATTGTATACATTTAGAAGTAGATGTTTGGATATTTTTTTAATTATTTTTGATTTCCTTGAAATTAGTAGATTTTCTTCATTAATAATTAAGGTTATAGTCAGTTATATTATATTCTCATTGATAATGTACTGTTATACAATTCAAACAATTCAAAACAATTAAGAACAATTAAATATATTACATATTGGAAAACGACAGAACTATCTTCCACAATATATTCATTGATATTTCACTCGTATATCGGTATTTATATCAAGTGCTCCAGTGAATGCTGCAAGGAATGTTCTGTTATTGGCGTTCTTCACTTGTCAGGGATCACAACGTGCTGGTTTATTTACATTTTCTGTATAATGTAATCACATTGCAGTGAGAAAAATAAATATACATTAGGTGCATGTTATAACCAGGATTTAAGTTGATTTACCTGAAAACTAAAGTGTCTTACAAATTTAAGGAAATATTATACTAGCTGGGTAAGTTATCATTATTTTCTTAGAAAATAAGGGCATCTTATTAGTAATAGTACGAAAACATGCAATACATAAGTTTTTAACGTAAAATTTGGTTGAACTATAAACCATCATTATGTTTTAAAGCCATCCCAGATTCGTATACGAATACTAAGGATGTTTTCCGTATTTGAAGCTAGTATTGTCCACGAAATATGTACTAACGTTATCATTTATTGTATTTGCGAAGTAGTGTTATATATTTTATTTCATTATGTTCGGATTATATAATGTGTATGTCGACTGCTTCATTATCTGCAGTGATAAAGATACCTGTATGCATGTTGCACATCTGTTTTTATCACACATATTTTTGTATAGCTGGTATGCACGTAACAATTCATTCACACAATACCACTTAAAATATTTCAGACTGATATCAGATCATTTGAAACTGATATCTAAATAATTCATAATTTTCATGGAGTTGTGCAGACTTTAAAGACTCATAACGAACTACTTCATTCTGATAATGATGTGTATAATGTTAAACTATCAATTTGAAAGTAAAACATACTCGTCCATTCAAATCTCTAAGCGTTTGATTTATTTATTTAAAAAAACATTTTGCATATATATATCTGAAACTTCTTGATTTGCTTTTCTAACTTCTTCCGTACATTTTATTTTACTTTATTGTGGGTTGAAATTCTATAATAGTCGTGCGGGAAGATGCAGTTGCCACCAGAAGACTAGTTTTCTTAAGTGTTAAACATCATTTGTTCACAAATAGATGTACAGTTATATGGAGGTCAACACCATCTTCTACATTAATAAAACCAACGTAACTTAAATAATAATTCTATAGTTATAACGGTAAAAAGTGTTTTCTATGAAATTTACCATATGACCCATCTTGTAGTGTCGTTTCGGTAAGATGTGGAATAATTAAAGATACAACAAATATGCATGAATTATAATACAGCTTTTCGTTTCTTGTCTTAGTTTATATTGGTGGATAGATATGTTTGATTTAGCTTTAGATTAATTTCAAAATATATCATATATAAATATATAAAAAAACATGCGTTAATATATTTCTACTTTTTTAGGAAGTATTTGTTTCATGACGACATTTTCCTTTATTGCCATGTAATGTCAGTTTTGCCTAATATGGACATGTTCATTAATTTGTAAATAAGCTATCATCATGTCATCATTGGCAAATAAGCCTTGTTTGATTGAAATGAAATGTCTGCCTGTCTGTCTGTCCGTTCGACTATAATCAGAACAATTAACATATCTTGCACGTATCTGAAGATAGATAACGATTTGTAAGCAAATCATCGAACGTAGCCCGCTTCTCTCTTTGTATTTGAACGACTGAACTTTTTGGCTAACCTATTGGACCTTATGTTATTTCCTGTTAATTTCATTAAAACAAATACAGATTACAGAAATTGTTGTTTCGTACTGAACTTGGAACAAAATTGACTTGAAGCTGTTCGTGTTAGATGAAAATTATCAGAACCTACTTTTTAATATAAACAAAAGATATCTGAATGTAAACAAAACAAACTCTCCCTCTCTCTTTGTCTCTCTACTTGCGAAAAATAGGTCAGCATTGAAAGTTGTTGATATGGTAAATGAATGTTAAAATAGAGGAAACATTTATAAGAACACTCTGGTTCAACTTGTGTAAATGCGAATCTTATTGATAGTCATCATCAGGATTCAATTTATCTCTCGTTTCCCTTTCATAAAGTCGAGATTGTCAAATTATCCTCCTGGATTTATCCTTTGATTCTTTTTATTGTATATCGTTACGTATTCTTATGAACGCTGAAAGAAAGGTTTTGTTATTGGTCTTCTTCACTGGTCTATAAACATATAATATAAAGATATTGACATTCGTATATAAGTAATAGTTATATTATATGAAAGATGGAGTTATAACACCGGCTTGGGCGACATCGAAGGATGTTTTTTGCGAAAAAAAATGCCGACGCCGTTAGGCCGAGACAATTTGTTTAGCAGAACCATCCCGAGATGTTAACAAGTCAATGCTTTACCTCTGTAACTCACGAGTTTTATATATTATAACTGTTTTATCGCAATTTTATCATTTTTGGTATCGAAAATCAGCATAGAGTTACTATGCTTAGTGTGTTTTCCCTCTCTTGTGCCCTTTCCTATTGTTTAAAATGTAAGCCCTAGAAAAAATGAACCAAAACCAGCTAATCAATCTATGTTTTTGCAACTGGGAATATGTGATGTACCAGCCCCATTCCAATCTCTTTAAAAAAAAACAACACTACACTGATATACAACAGGTGCAAAAAAAAGAAAGAAAAAAACTCAACTGTTTAATATCAGTTGAGTTTTTTCCTAAATGAATCAAATGACAAAACAGCACTGTTATATATCAATTAAGTTTTCAAATCCTCATTGAAAGTGAACTGAATATAATGGGTTAGCAAGGTGTAACACGTATCTGTACCTATCCTAAACGTGTAAATGGGATTAATATATATTCATATTAGCTAAGTGTGTTTGTTTGTTTAATTGGGTTTACATTATATGTCATATGGAGACGTTTCAGCTTTTAGCTGGATAGCTTCCTCACATGAATCCGAAGTATTTCGGGACTCGAACCCACAGCGGTGAGGGGCAAGTGGTATGAAGTCAACGACCTTAACCATCCGGCCACGGACGCCCCATATTATCTAAATAAGTAATGTCATCATTTTATCTTTTTATTTAGGGAGGGATAATTCTTTATACATTCTCACATGGAGGAAATTAAGTCGCACATATTAATTTTCAAGTCTGTCTTCTTTATTAACAGCTTTTATTGCAGTCTGCAGTATAATGATCATTTTGAATTAGAATTGCTTATGTGTAAAATACATCTTAGGATATCAATACGTTATCGATACGGACATTTTATTTTCAGTAGACATATTAACATCTATTTTCAGTAGAGACATATTAACATCTTTTTTAACACCCACGTTCTAAGATGAGAAGTGATGATTTTGAATGTTATACTTTCATTTCACGAAAAGTGAATGTTTTCTATACAATTTGATGATAAAATATTTGAATTATTTGTTATCAAAGTGGATGCTTTCTCTTCTTTACAATGTTCTGAGTTTTCGTAACATAGAAGTAGAGTGGTAGCCTAGGATTTATTTCATAAAATGTGAATGTTTATGTATTGGTCAATATTGTGACATTATATTATGACTAAACATAAAATGGTGTCATCGAATAGCACTTTTTTTATTGCAGACACTGTCGATTATATAAAACTGACTGGTAAGATTATTTTGGAAAATGTTTGAGTCAAATAGGCCTTCTCTTGAACAAATTCCTATAAAACAAATTCGTATAAGACACGAGAACATTGAGTGTGGTATTGATTCCCTTTTATGTGTTATAAGCACAATATAATGATAGTAATCAGATCACGTGGTTGTATATATGATGGGCATGTGTTTTCTGCTAGGAAAGATTTCATAAAATGTTTTAGGCCTGTTTCGTCTTTCAATATATTGCAATTTAAGTAGATTAATAATTTAAGTTGTTATCTTGTTATTGTGCGTTCTTAAAATATGTTTGCAATATCAATTGTAAAATATCTAATGCTTAATGTGTCTTACCACACACATATCGCATCTGTTAAGAGTCGAATATATTTTTAAGTAGCGCGGCTTTTCAAAATAAATTTTACTGCAATATTTAGTTAGGAAAGTAAATATGTTTTCACACACGACTAGATAGTAAATAAATACAATAGAATGTTTATTTTCGAAGTAGATCATATTTAACATAAATAAATTAAGGTAATCAAAATAATAAATTTCTTCCTGCGTTGAAAAACATTCTATTTAGAGTTTTCGAATTATATTTACGATTACATCCAGCAGGGTCTTAAAAGTACCTAAAGTACACAATGTGAATTTAAATGTATTTACGAATAGACTGCTAAATTAGTTCATTAACGATGGCCTTTGCCTCTTTTCCTGATGTTCCTTTTTAATTCTTCCTTGATGATAGACCATTGTTTCGTCTCCATAATACAATCAGTAAACGTACAGTGTATTATGTTGTTGATCCTACACTGTCTGCATGATGCATGTACACGTATAATATGGTTATTAATAATCACTTTGTAAATGGGAAGGCAGCATTGGGCCAATTGTAACACTAATATGTCAGTAAGTGCCATTGATGTAATAATGGAACAGAAAATTTAATAATGTGCTTCAGTAATAAAACAGAAATAAGGCGTATGATGTCTGGACGTCTTGAGAGTAAAAACAGTATTTTAATCAAAGACAATCTGAAATATTTCAACAATCCATACACAGCCGAGTTCTTTGCAAGTCTATAGTAGACCATTTTAGTGATAAAACATGAAGACCGTTATTTGAAGGCATTAAGTGACATTTAGCACCCTTTTAATCTCAACAAATTTGTACTTTATTTTCTTGATCCTGTAGTTCTTGTATTTGTTCTATTGAGTGGCGTCGTGTCAGTGGAGGCAAAGGCTGTCGCCAAGCAATAATTGTTCCAAAAACACGGGACTTACAATGTAAAAATATCTCACTCTGGACATGAAAATGGTACATCGACGTAAACGTCAGGTTACAGTTCCCGATTTTCATGTCGACTGTGACGTCCAATTATCTCTAGTGTCTTGATTAAGTGTGAAACCACCAAAGGCCAGTACCATAAAATAGACTGTTATATACTGCCACAAGCTGCACTGAGAATATTTGAAAACGTTTTCTCCAATAATTAACCGTTAAATCCCCTATTAAAGAATTTACCGAGTTAAAAATTAAATTATGTACTTAATTTTAACATGACAGTTGACTTTTATTTTCCTTATGGTCTGTTTGGTTTTAGGAAGTCTCCGAACCTACGATCAGACGTTTTGCTTGTAGGATGAAGTGTTTGATTATTTGATGAAAAAAATACATTGTTGCAACTCGGTGGCGTTAATTATGAATTTA